CAATTTTTTTTTTTTTTTTTTTTTTAAGTACTGTACCATAAGTTTGTTGATACTATCTGGAGAAATTATAAATACTATTAAAAAAAAAAAAAAAAAAAAAAGAAAAAGATACAAGTGCTGCACTGACATTTTTTTTTTTATTGCATGCACAATACTTCCGGTCTTCCGTAGATTTCATTGGTAAAAATTGACACAAATTAATTTTTTTAATATACGTGCACTCATTAGTTTGTAATAAGCTTTGGAAATTATAATCTGTAAATATATATCTACTTGACATTTGTTAAGTTCTACGAACTTTTCCCTAATTTTAGAACAATTAGCAACATAATGTAAAAATAAAAACAATATTTCAGAAATAACAAATAATTGTTTTAAAAATTCATCGAAATATCTTTTTGCTTTCAGACAATATTGTCCATCTTCATTGAAATAAATAAAAGGTATTAAAAGCTTTTGAGATTAAATAATATTTTTGTTTTATTGAGTTTTATTACACTTCAGAGACGATTTTCAGGTAGGGTTGGTCCAACTAAAAAAAAAAAACAAAAAAAAAAAAAAAAAAAAACAAAAACATGATTTGGTTTTCTCAAAGCATTGTGCTTTTAACTAATATAATCTCCCCAAAATTGAAATTATAGAGTTGCCGTACAATTAGTTAGAGGGGGGTAATACATATGAAAAAAATATTTCTGCCATGACTTTACTAAATTTACTAATTTAGTTTGTGAATAGTTTCTGAAAGTTTCACTAAAATCCGACAATTATTTTTTTATTTTTGCAAGATTTTCCAAATTAATGTGTGTCATACAGGAAAAAAATGCGCTAAAATTTTTATATGTCATTTTATTGGTTCGGTTGATACAAAGAGAAACAAGGTTTTTTTTTTTTTTTTTTTTTTAAAAAAAAAATCAAAATTTACAATGTTCTTTAGAAGAAGGAAAATTTTAAAAAAATAATTAAAAAATACTTTGATCTTTCCTCTCAATAATAACAAGCAATTAGACGCTAAAATTTTGTTTGTCAACTTTGGCGTCTTTTTCATCGTGCTATGCTCTGTTTTTAGCAATCTCATGAAGGTGCCTACGTCCTTATGAGATAGATCAGGTTTTTACCGCATTGTAAATTGTATAATTTCGACCAATCAAAAGACCCGCAGTAATTAAGAAACGTAATTTTGTGTTTATAATACGGCTGCAATTATAAAGTACGGAAGACCAGCAAGAATACAATTAAGTTGCCTTATTTGAGTTAATTTGATTTTTCAATTTCAACTGAGAAGGGTACCTACAAGTATTAGCATCATACTATGAAATTTATGATCTTATTTTTATAAGAATCTTAGTTGACATATTTCCATAAATGAAATATCAAAATTAATAATAAAATGAACGGAAATACAAATAACACAGTAAAATGCAATAAATGTACATAAAATTATAGCATTTTATGTACACTTCTGATAAAATTTCATAGGAAAGGTACCTATAAATTAATTAGATACCTTTCTTATGGAATTTAATCTCACTCTCAACAGTCTTAATCTTTTTTTATATTTTCCATAAAGCATCATAAACGTAAAAGTACAAAAAAAAAAAAAAAAAAAAATTAGAGCACTGAAAGTTTTCCTTAAAAATAAGTTAAATAATTTGTTCACTTAAAGTCCTCCTGTATGATAAGTTTTCCTCAAGTAAGCTGTCTAAGTAATGCTTGCTTCAAAATATTTTAAATAAACAATTTCTAACTTTCTTTAAATTAGTTATGAAAAATATTATAATTGATTTTTAAAAGAATTTAAAAAAAATTTTTTTTTAAAAAAAAAAAATGAAAAATAAAAAAATAAAAAATTGTTGACATGATTATGTCAATTTTGCTGACTAAAAAAAAAAATTTTTTTAACGAAAATTTCAGGTGTGCTAGGAACGATTAAAAAAAAAAAAAAAAAAAAAAAAATACCCCCAAAATACTTTGACCTTTCCTCTTAATAAATATTTGGACTTTTGGCGTCTTTTTCATCATGCTATGCACTTTTTTAGCTATCTCATGAAGGTACCTACAATCTTTAAAAAGGTTACGTGATTTAAATCATAAATGTTTTCCAGACTCACTGCAATTACTCAATTATTTTAATTCGGTTGTTTCATCATTTAACGACTTTGAAAATCATCCCTTCAAAATATCCCAAAAGTTTTACTAATTTAATAGCTATTTCACTAAATAGCCTTATTTCATGTATTTATTTTAGTTTCGGGTCATACTTCAATTCATTTTTGTTTAAAAAGGTAATAAACTTAAACTAGGAATAAAATGCAAATTTCAAAGCTCCTATTAAAAAAAAAAAAAACCCCCCACACACAACTAAAAAGTCAATGAAATATTGATAATTGCTGAAAATGTTAATTTGTAATAATTACTAAGTTCACTTAGTTTTCATAAACATGTCATTTCTGTTCAGTGTTCATCCATAATTGTTGTCATCACCTCGATAAATTAATGAAGATCAAAGGGGAACCCATCGTTAAGAAATGCTTGCATATTGTTTGTTTTTATGCTATAAATAAATTTTATAATTTCAAATAAGATTGATTTAACTTTAAATTTTTTAATTTTACTCAAATAACGTGTCACAAATCTATATTTTTTTTTATAGAATTTTAAACCCAATAAATTGTTTATTTACAAATTTCTAAATTAAAAAAAAAAAAAAAAAAAAATCGAGCATTCCAATATATATAATTTTAAATATACCAGAATATTTTACTTACTTGAAAGAATAAATTTAACAATTTAGCTTTCAATTAAAAACAAGAATGAAATCTTCAAGAATGCTTTTTCATTTTTAATTTTAAAACTTAGGTATCGAAAAATTCAGTCCGAGTAGACTACTCAGTAGAGCAATATAAAAATGAAGAGGATGGAATTTTAATTACTCGAAATTAAAAATTATGGTCGGAAACAAATGTGGAAAAAAATTGCCAAGATTTGAAATTTAAATAATTTGACTCATTTGTGAATAGGTCCCGAAAATTTCATTAAAATCTGAGTTATTTGATTTTGGCAAGACAAAGAAAAGTGTTACCTAAGGTAATTCATAACAAATAAAAAATTCTCGAAATGAAGAATTAAATAAGTTACGTACGTAAAAACTATTTTTTTACCAAATGCTCCAAAAATAATTCCATTATTTTTTTTTTTCCATCAAAATGTGACAAATAGTATCCATTTTTGCAAGAATTTACAAAATATTTTTCACCACACTCAGTCGCTCAAATTTCCCGTACAAATTTATGGTCAGTGTCAGAAGAAAAAAAATATTAAATTCAACCAGATACCTCCCGCCCAAATCTAATTTACTGATTTTTTTGACGATGAAATTGTGTTTATGCTTTGAGTGGGTATTTTTATTTCCAACATGTATTTTTAGCGATTTTTTTTTTAAGTACTTAAGATTTTGAAGTTAATTGCAACAGGTCATCTATTTTCACTAGAAACTCTTTAATAGAGCTTTGCTTAGCAAATAATTAAGTCTACATTTAAATGAGATCTCGGAAAATGAATGGATGTGTTTTGATTACTCTAAAAAAAATAAAAATAAATAAAAATAAAATATGAAAGCATTTTCAAACGTAAAAATCTGAATATTAAAAGAATAATCTTTAGAGCAAATTAATAAACCCAGTAACACGATTGTTTTAACAGATACGAGTAAAGAAATCTGTCAAAAAGACAATTATTTTAAGTTTAGTCATGACGCAAAATGTAGTAGTAAGCAGTCATAGGTAAAAAGAAAAATTAGAAGTGGCTTTACTGTAAGCTGCCATCTTTAAAATACCCAGAATACGTAGCAGTGACGTCAGTACAAGAGTTAGTATTTCCAGATTATTCTTTTTCATTCTTAATTTACGTGACATTTGTTGAAGTAAAAAAAAAAAAAAAAAAATAAAAGAACAGTGTACACTACCAAAGAATCGAGGTTGGTATTAAATAAATTTACCTATGACACTGAATACGGGTAGTGACAACGACATTATCAATTCTGTCATTTTATGTTTAAACATCCTTTTTCCCCCCCATGTTGGAACGAGTGACCGTTTTTGAGAAACTTTCTAGATTTTCTGCAACCTTTTTTTTTTTTTTAAATTCTCACATTTAGATAAAGTGAAAAGAGGATGCAATCTTCGTTTAAAAGCTAGCAAAAAGACAAACGACGTTCGGATAAGGAAATTCGAATGAATTAAAAAAAATAAATACAAATTTTAATCGGAATTTGTTTCATTTCTCGGCCATAAAAAGCTCAGTAATCTAGTTTAGGTAAATACTAAAACAAAAAAGCCGTTTTCTGAAGCTTGGGAGTTTATCGCTGTAGAAGTATCGAGAACAATAAAAAATTCAGTTATGTTCTATCTGAACAGTAGCGACATGATCAGCAGCAGCCATTAAAAATTAGTAGCAGTAGTTGGTTTAATAAAATAAAGATCATTTTTTTTTTTTAGAAATGAAAGCCGAAAGTATAAGCTAAGTTCAATAATATTAACAAGAACGTACTGCCAGTCTGAACTTACAAATGAAGTACAAGTTGTAAAGTTAATGACGCTTTTTCGTAATTCTTATTTAGACTTTTGTCTAAGCGGCTAAATGTGATCAATGATCAGTCAATAGAATTTGTTCAGTTCTGTTAACCAAATGGAAGAATGCTACAAGCCTATCAATGTAGAAACAAGTCTTTAAAATTTTTATACTGCATATTTTAACTATTTTTCTTTATCTTCTCACTAACAATTGAAATAAATCAAATAAAAATTTTCAAGCGTTTGACTTCGAAAGAACTTTCCCTACCCCAAAAGAAAAAACATTACTAATGCTATTCTTGAAACATTTCTTCTGCTACTACTATTTAGCAGTAGTACCAATTAGAGAGAAGGCTTTTGTTTCTTTTAGTTTTAATCCAATTTAAATACTCCTCTAGTTACAAAAAGTGACTTACAATATTTTAACCTTACCTTTTTTATTTCGGAACTGCTGGCATTCCTTGATACCCCTAAAACATTATAGAGATGTGTGTCTCCCATGCTTGGTTTGAATAAGACGACGTGTGTACAGTGCTAAGATGAATCAGGTTGCCGACTGAAGACTTCCGCCTTAATGTTGCTCTATGACGTCACAGATGACGGCCAACATGAGACAAATCAAGAACGATAACTCTCACTCCTCAAGGTTGTTGATAAGAACCTGTGGTTACACCTGGTAATTTTTAAATGAGTTTCGAAACTTTAAATGTTAACATTTTTTTGAGCGATGTACAGTGAGATAATTCTTTCGAACCACTGCCCATAATATCCATATATGTGTAAAATCTGTTAATAACAATGATAACCTAAGTGTGTACAGTGTACTGGATTGGTTATCTAATGTTGGGTTATCTAATTTTTAATTTAGGTTAAAAAGAAATCACCAATTCTAACTTGTCATTGTGTAATACAATTAAAAACTTTATCTGAAACTATAATCTCATTAAAGGTTTTCTTTTTCTTTGATTAATAAGAAGACCTATTAAAGTATCTTACAAAAGCACTTTAACATCAAAATAAAACATAAAACAGATCTGTATTCATAAATCTTAAAAGATAACACCAATAATTAATAAAAATGCATGTTAATGCATGTTAAATTGTTTAGGATTATCCCAAGTGTTTTATTTCATTTAATAGCTGAATTGTTAAACAATTTGTATTTGTGATGAGATGTCATCCAATTGTAGTATGTGTGAAGGTGGTGTAGTATTCAATAACAGAGGAGACAGGATCATTGGATTAAGTTTGAATTTTGTCTGAGGCCTTTCCCATTCACTTCACATAAATGTCCTTAAACAAGCATGAACCCACTTTTCCCTGCATTTTTCATCACCAGATATATTGATAAAATATCTCATCCTGGTATACCATGAGGCATGACAGATAAAAGAGGTTGAAAAAGCAATCAGGCAAACTTTTATGAATTTGCTTCATCTTGTAGCATCCCGCTACCACTTCCTTATCAATGTATAATTTTGTACATTTTTGTGCAAAAAGGTGGATCAGAGAGCCTACTCAGCTTAGTAAATATTTTTCGGGAGATATCAGCTTCTAATTGGTTAATAAACACACATATCAGCCACGTACAAACATTTTTTCCAGCGCGTGACCAAGTCAAGTTTCACGCCAATTTGCTGTGATCCAGTCACGTGATTACATTATCTATAAATAGCAGACACGAGTTCATTTATTCATCTACAATTGTCCATTCTTATTACCATACCACTACCTATGGTAACCCTAATGTTTGACATGGGGCGAGAAAACAATTAGACCACTACAGTCTAACATACAAATCCTCGCATTGCTGCCTTCTATCCAACAAGTAGAAGTAAAGATGTATAAATTTGGTTTAATTTTGTATGTAGTTATTATATTACTTATAACTTGAACTATATATTCCATTTATATATTGACATCTAAAATAAAACTACTTTTGACAAGATTTATATTTGTAAAATATAATAATATTTAATAATTCACCAGGATATCAAGATATTTGGAAAATGTAAGTTTGTTGCAAAACCTTCATTTTATTACTTCACATTAACATTGTACAGAGCTTTAATTTTAGTGACCTAGACAAAGGTTTCTGAGAGAGATAATGGGTGCAGTAAGTAGATGACAAACAAAAGCATGTAAAATGACAAAAACAGACAATAAGCAAAACTTAGTAAAAAAAAAAAACAGTCAATTGGGGAGCTAAATGAAAAAGTAAGAAGACATAGTAGCAAAGGACAGTCGTCACTTATCACAGTAAGAAGGTTATAAGAACCAGAAAGGATAACAACCACAAGGGTAAGTCACTTTCTGTTCCTGTATGAAAATTAAGATACCAAATCCTCTTCTTGCTATATTTTTTTTTATCTGTTTCAGTTAACAGAATTATCCTTTTCATTACTGAATTAATCTATACTTGCGGTAGAACAAAATAGAATAAATAAAATTTATATATTTCTTTTAACTGAAAAGGACTAGATTAAATGTGTCCATTTTAGCTTACTAAAATAAAAAGGGCAAGGAAATGACTTAATCAATGCACTTTAAATGTGTCTTGAAAATATTGAAAAAGAATATATTGAAAATATATTTTTTTAAAATATATATTGTAATCAATACAGTATAGATCTGGGTTTTTTTTTGTGTTTGTTGATTTTGCATATGTAACTATAATGTACATATCACATCCCATATCATTCATTATTTTCTGATCAATTCATAGAGCAGGATGAGAAATGAGTGATCCAGGATAGCAGGAATCATGGAGACAAGACAGTAAGTGGAGAGCAGGGTCCCTTAAGAGTTGCCAATGACTTGAAATAAGCTAGTAATTATATCAAGTAACTGGTAATTTTACCTTCAGAATAAGCTCACTTGTTAGAGGCTTTTGATTTAAAGGTGCAAGGTATCTTAGCATACTTTAGTCATATACTTCAATAGTAAGTACAATAAGCAGGCAATTTCTGACACTTCTTTAACTTCAAAGGAATTATTTTGAATTCATGTAGACTATATTGATTTTGAAAATGGTTTCAACAGGACTAAAAATACTTGCACTGAAATTTCTCAGATTATTATTCTCAGCTTGCAACTGTAACAACATACTTATTAGAGCAGCAAGACCTAGCATGGTGAGGTTGTGGCTTTACATTTCACAAAGAGACTACAGGGTTAATATCCATAATTAATTACATATATAAATAATAATTCATAACATATAAAAATATTTATGTGTATATATCACAGATGTAGATTATAGAATTTAAATGATAATTGTTATATGAGTAATATAAATATATATTAATTTTTAAGCATGCTGTACTCTGTTGCAATTACATCTCTTTCTGATTCATTCTGCATGTTGACCAGATGTGAAGGCAGAGAACAAAATAACAAAAATTGTTTTCTGCGCATTAGGCTCCACACATCACATCCGGTCTATGAAGCGAGCTCTGTCAGTGGCTAAACGTGAATGCTCCCACCCAAAAAAGAGATGCCCCTGGAGGAGAACAACACTAGTCAGTTGTGGCTCACACCTCTCAATGACCATTATCACTTCCAGGCTTGACTAATCACTTTGGCTATCCAGCCTTGACTTGAAAACATCTCAACTTTGACTCCACCTAGCTACAAACCTTCATTGTTGACAATGCCGTCATCTCAGCAAATGCCAAGTTTCACAATGTTGACAACACCAAGCAACAAGCGTTCCTCGCCACCAAGACTCACCTTGGCAAATCCAACTCCACAAACAAGTGACTCCAACTCTGCAACCAATCTACCATCACAAGCAGCAACTCTGACTCCACAACCAAGTGACTCTGACTCCACAAGCAGTGACTCCAACTCTGCAAAGAAGCAATTCAGCCAAGCCAGCGCAAGAAATAAATCAACTCCTAGAGCTATGCTTTTACCAGATTTCTATCCTGACGATCACCCACTGAAACTGATATTTCACCTAGCTTTGACATATCTGTATAATATACTATACTACACTATGACCTCAATCAACCAACACGAGCAAAAAAAAAAAAAAAAAGTTATAGAAAATTTGTTAGCAGGGAGAGTAGAAAATATGATAATTTATCAGGATGATATATGTTTAGGTGCAGTCATTGAAGAACTGAAACAAGAAACTAAATTTGTAATGGATAAGTGGATGAGGGTAAGAATGATGATAAACAAAGATAAGTGTATATTTAATTGCAAAGAATTAACATTCTTGGGTTACCAAATTTCAGAAAATGGTACTTCACCAGACCCAACATTAATACAAAAAATATTAAATGTATATTCTCCAGCTTATAAAAAAGAATTGGAATCATTTCTCAGATGAGCCAATTTTTATAGCAAAATATTCTGAAAAAATTGAAGTGTTTTCTGTGTTGCAAAAGAAGAATAAAGAGTTTGAATAGACTAGTACACCAAACACTAAACAGCCTTCATTAAATTAAAAGAAGCTCTATCTAAAAAACCTTTGGTCAAGATTTTTGACCCTAAAAAGTACGTTACATTAACCACAGATGTGAGTGGCCAGTCTGTATCAGCAATTTTGTCCCAGGAAGGACTCTCGGTGATGTATCTTTCCAGGACATTGACACCAGCTAAATTGAACTACTCTAATATTGAAAAGGAAGTATGATCAGAGCAAGACAATTTTTATTAGGAAAACAATTTTTGTTGAGATCCGATCATAAGCCCTTAGAATTTATATTCCATCCTAGGAAGGAATTGTTGAAAGTTACATCACCCAGAATATTAAGATGAGCTATGAAGTTAATAGCTTTTGATTATGATATAGAATACTTGAAGCGAAACACGATACCGCACATAGACTCATTGTCCCAATTACAATTTGAAAATAAACAAAGTAAAATTACTTTAAAAAAGTTGAGCATGAATTTTTGCATTGGGTGGAAACAAATGTATTGCCTATAAATAGACAAGTTATGGAGACATTACAAGGTCCAGACTTAAGTCAAATTTTATCAAGAATAAGGGCAATAAATGGAGTAATTGTTCAAATCCAGAAAACCATACAAATAAACCAGACAAAAAACTATCAATAGAAAATATCTAATTTGTAATGGAATTTAGTTGTACCACTGGAAAAATATAGAAAAGAAGTAATTAAAAGTGTACATGATGATGTGCATTGTGGGATAACTGCCACACAAAAACAGTTAAAACTGGAAGCGTGGTGGCCAGGACACACCCAAGATGTGGAGAATTGCATATGCAAAGGTCCTAAATGTGCCGAAATAAAGAATTTTCACCAAAATAAATTACACTCTTGGCCTAAGGAAAAAGAACCATGGTCTAGAGTTCATATGGATTCCACACAAATTAACAGGGCAGGTTTATGTCTAATACTGGTTGATGCTTTTTTCTGCCTGGCCTGAAGTTTTTTCTGATTTCAGGATAAAAATTCTATTACTGTAAAACAAATATTCCACATAATATTTGCTAGAAATGGAGTACCAAAAACATTAGTAACT